TTCGTTTTTGAGAGAAACAATCACAAACAACTAACATTCGGCTCTTACGAGTGTGTCCTCACAACAATTCTATGTTGATATCGATGATCTTGGGATTTCTCTTCATAGGAAAGCTAACTTATCACCAAAGGCCCAAGCGGGGATAATGCAGGATAAAGGAAAGGTCATAGCTTCTGATCTGACAGGAGAAATAAGCCTACGATGGGTATTGAAAGATTCGGTGTGAGTCAAGCAAGACTTATTTCTTCACTTGTTCACTTTTAGTTTTTAACGAATACTTTCACTTTTCTTGATTTTTTCATTTGCAATTTTTTCTTTTTTAAAAAACTTGCATTTAAGTTTGGTTTTTTTTTTTTTTTGGCAATAAATAAATTAAAATATTATTTAGATATTTGCCACTCATACTTTTTCAAATGTTTTATCTAAAAGTTTCAACGAAGCGTTATGTTAAATCATAGATCATCAACAAGTTTATATTTGTATTTTTTTTTTTTTTTTTTTTGTACGGAAGTAATTGTTCGTCCGTTATCTATGCCAATGATTAACAATCGTCACCTGAATCGTTAGCGTAGTAAATCTTAAGTATTGTAATTTAAACTTCTTTTTTTTTTTGAAAACCAATTTTTCCGCATCTCTTTTTGGTGTTTTTTAATTTTTTTCCTATGTTGGACTGGCAGAAACATAAACGAAACGAAAGTAACCCAGAAACAATCAAACACAAAGCTAGGCAACTCGAACGACTAGGAAATATTTTAACGCAAAAAATAAAAATAAATAAATAAAAACATACATATATAGTTTACTTAATACCGGAAGATGTCTTCTCATTTGTAACAGCGGGAAGTAGACTTTAAGAATTCTGCAGAGCAATACCACATCAATATTGTGTCTCTAAACACAGGGATATTAGCGACAGGGTTAATCAGATTTTTGTTGTAAAATTATATTTTTAATTTTTTCTTTTGATTTTTATCCGTTAATCCAAATTTATCCGAAAGTTGTCTATTTGCGTAATTAATTATTAAAAATAAGATTAATTTAATTTAACAAACGGATATTAATTTGTTAGCTTTCAAAAGTAATTCTTTGCTTATC